ACAGTGGATCAACATTTTGAGAAAACAACATTATTTATAGAGCAAAGTGTGAAATGAGAATAAATTAATTATTATTGCCACCTTGTATGCTCAGTTATTTTGTGATCTCCAGTCATCATGTAATGTCATTAATATCGCAGTGTATGACTGAGGTGAAATGAAATAAGCTCATAAACTGGGTGATGAATCTGGCCCAATGCAATTCATCAGCAGTTAAAAAAAAGAACTATCCCATGTTTCTCTGAGGTGGAGTTTGGACTCATACACACAGAATTGCGTTACTTCTTGGTGATATGAATGCAAAACAGTTCCTCTTAAGTTCTCACTTTTACCAAGTAATGCAACATATTACATTTATTTATAAAAATCATGAACCACTACTCAGTCATTAATATTGTGGTATCAAGCACTTGCCTTAACATGATGAGTGAAACAAGGGACCTTGTTAAATACTACGTTTCAAATAGGATTAGTTCTTGAGGAAATAGGAAGAAAAGTTCAATTTAACCCCATGTAGTGTGCAATATGGCTTAATAACGACAACTTTACTTGTATAATTCCACAGAGGCTTAACTGGGAACCTGGAATGATGTTTTTACAATGCACAGATAAAAGGTTACCAACCTTATGGTTTCCTTGGTATCCCTCCAAACAAATAGGAGTTAAGTAATTTGATTGTAAGTTCACATCAGTCACCTTCACCATAATCTCTCGATAATTTCCTCTGAAGCATGAAGTAAATGGGATTGCAATGTTGATAGGGAGAGGGATTGTTTTCTTATAATCAGAGCATTCAATACTGATGACATTGCTGACCAGCTCTTCAGAATCATCCACCACCAAGGAACTACTGTCATTGACTATCTTACACTTCAGATTCTCCAGAGCAGTTGCAGGGCCTTTAATAAAACAAGCTACTTCATGTTCGTTCTTACCACTCTTTTCCACCAGAAATCTGGAGAAAAAGAATATAAAATATTATTCTTTGTATTCTGAGTGGTGTGGTGTCTTGTATTTTTAATTATATACTTCACTATAATGATGTGCTAAACTGTAGCATAAGCATATAATTCATAAAAACATCTGTTTATGAATAGATAGGAAAATCATGAAAATTTTTAGGTTTAACTTGTTTCAGAACAGCTTACAAATTATTATGAAATTGACTAATTGGGGTCATTTCCTAATGATTTCCAGCAATTTTGGAATTATTGACTTTACTGGCTATGAGTCAGCCCCTCTCTGGCATAAAAAAATTCTATGCAATCAAATAGAAAGTTACAGTTTACTTTAGACCAAATGGAAGATCTTCATTGTGCATGCTTAAGTTGTAAACTGTTATTATGTGCATGACCAGCAGCTACTTAATACATGCATATTGAGTTTCTGGGCCCACAGAATCACAGTATCATTAAGGTTGGAAAAGATCTTTTAGATCCCCAAGTCCAACCCTCAAACCAACACCACCATGCCCATTAAACCATGTCCTGAAGTGTCATGGCCACATGTTTTTTGAATACTTTGGTGATGGTGACTCCCCCCCCTCCCTGGGCAGCCTATTCCAATGTTTGACCACTCTCTCCGTAAAGAAATTTTTCCTAATATCCAATCTAAACCTCCCCTGGTGCAACTTGAGGCCATTTCCTCTCATTCTGTCATTAGTTACGTGGCAGAAGAGACCAAAATCCACCTCAACACAACTCCCTTTCAGGTAGTTGTAGAGAGCGATGAGGTCTCTCCTCAGCCTCCTCTTCCCCAGACTGAACCCTAGTTCCCTCATCTGCTCCTCATAAGACTTGTCCTCCAGACCCT